ACGGTGAAAGCCGATCCGGCGATCCACAGCGCGAAGTTGATGTATTTCCTCACGGATCAGCTCCAGGCATGACGAAGCGAATATCGTCCTCTTTTGGAAGGCCAAACAAAGTAGTTTCGCTTTCATAATGAAACACACGGCAACAACAATACTACAGCGAGAATCAAAGTTACGCCTTCTTTCTTTGCGTATACATTTGGGCGGTGTTATGCAAATCTTCCCACATCGTGATGTAGACATGTGGGGGGCTCGTTAGAACGAGCCGTTTTAGGTAGCGTGGTTGACTCTTAACTTTTATGAAGAATATCTCTTTGGATTTGAGACTTTAGTCTTTACAACTTTACAGATCTTCTTTATGCACCAAGAGCTTGTAACACTTCAAAGAGAAAGGAAACATTTAAATCGCATCATATGACCCCTTTAAAGAATCACAAGAATCTCCTGTACAATTGAGGACTGAACCAGTGAGAATTAAATAAAGTTCTGTGAATTCGGAAAGTAAATAGCCTAGGACTGAAATGAGATGTTGACACAAGATCTTCCATCTATATAATTATGTAAATGTCACCATAAAGGAGTTTTTTTGAAACACAGTGGCTTTGTGGTTTGTTGAATTAATGTGTCACCGTGGGGGTTTAAGTTGAAATGCAGCTGTGGTAATAATATAAGATGTAAATTATAATCTTCACAAGTGAATTGTGTTTTCTCACCTCAGATTCACCCCTCAGTTAAAACTAAAACTATACAGTACAGTTAAGAAAGGTGCTCATCAAATTAGGTCAAATCCTTTAATTGTACAAAAATAGAATGAATGAACAGCCTGGTCTCATGTTTATACGTAGGTATTAATACGTAACATTTACAAGCACAAAACGTACACTTTTGTACGTTTTTATTAATGCTAAAACGTACAATTTAGACGTATTTCAACGTTTAAAACGTACAAATCGCTACGTATTTTTAGCTAAAAAACGTAAAAATATTTACGTATCTTTTATATCATTAAGATATTCGTATCAATGCATTTTTTTCATTTTATCAATAAGCGATTTAGATCTTTAGACCCCTTAACCTACCCCCAAACCTAAACCTACCCATTTTATAGCGAATATGCATTTTTATCATTTTATTAATACGCAATTTAGATTTTTAGACCCCTTAACCTACCCCCAAACCTTAACCTACCCATTTTATAGCGAATATGCATTTTTATCATTTTATTAATACGCAATTTAGATTTTTAGACCCCTTAACCTACCC